TGTGGTAGTAAAAGCTCAGGGGTCAGGTAAGGCTGGTTCAAATCTTGACTTTGACCATTACAAGATGCATGTCCTCAATGAGCACCTTAACCTCACTGAGCCTCAGTTTCATCATTTGCACAATAAACCTACATCAGAGGATACTGCAAACAGTTAACAATATGATGTGAGGACAGTCTTCAGCTCAAGAACTAGCATATGATCACCACTAGGAGGAAAGGCATAAGGTGTGTGTAAGATGGAGTGCTGACTTGAGAGGAGGGTGAGGGGGTGATAACAGAAAATCAAGAGAGGATGAAAAATTTTAAAACTAGAGGAAACGACTCCTGTTGCAAGAGCAGCCCACAGGCACACAAAGATGGACCTTGTCTCAGATACTTACCGTATTTCCCTCCTCTCTCTCTGAGGCTGGCCTGACCACTTCCTGTTCCCCAGAGTCGGCCACAGCAGTGCAGCTGACCCCACTGGGGGAGCTTCTGGCATCCTGAATACGGAGATGGAGGGCCTGATGTTGGCATGAGGAAAACTGATCCTGAGAACAGTATGCAATGAAGGCTGGACAAATCCCCAGATCTAGGAACTAGACACTGAGACTGGAAGGAAACAGAAGGAAACTACATATCTGCAATGGTTTCTTGGTTCAGAAAACTCTGGAGCCTGTTGGAGGCTCAGGACAGTACTTTTGCCCTCATTCCCCAACCCCAGTCTCTGTGATGCTGATACGGCAGCTGGGAAAGAGATGAGCAGTATAAATGAGCATAAGTAGGAGACTCAGTGGGCACTTCTCAAGGGCCCCGCGAAGTCCTGACAGTTCCTTCGTGCGATCCCATGACCTAACAACTGTCTGATGCAACGCACAGCCCAAAATTCATTCTCGTCCTGGTGTTCTGGAAAGTGAGAAGACAGAGAAGGTAGGAGTGGATCCCCCTCCTTCAGCACCATGACAGCGACCTCCCTGGGGCAACTTCGCCTCCATAACAGCAGGAGGCACTGTCTCATCCCAAACACTCCCACAGCACAGAGTCCAAGGCCTGAGCAACTTGCTGGGTCCCACAGAGTGGGGGCTTGGGAGAATTACTGGCTACAAAAAAAGATAAACAGAAACCTGCACTAATAAGATAAATAACCATTTAATGTATTCTAAATTGAAAATTATTCTTAACAGAGTTTATTTATGCAGATATGACAAAGATGAGTATATGTATATTTACTCACATGCCACTCCATTTTAGAGAAGGTGTTGCAGACTATACCTGGTGCTCTACACTTGACTTTTATTCTCAGTGTTATACATTGACTCTCTTAACATGCGTGCCCATAGCCAGAGGTGCATTTTAAACAATCACCCTGCTCATTGATTATATAACTGATTAAGTTTGAGGTTCACTGCCTTAGAGTGTCTTCTGTTCTGCTACGGAGTAGACTGTGTGTTTGTGTGTGTGTGTGTGTGTGTGTGTGTGTGTGTGTGTGTGTGTGTGTGTGTGTGTGTGTGTGCGTGCACTCAGTTCTCCTTTCTGGATAATTTCAAGCAGAGACTATCAGGGTTGCAGCAGAAGCTAGACGTGCATGGCATCCCAGAACAACTAACCTCTACAGCAAGAATCCATCTGTGAGTCATGGTCAATGCCTGGCAGGTGTCTAGAGTTCCTGTTACTACTTCTCCATGGAAACCTCTTCTGGATTTAGACAAAAAGCTTTCTGTGACTAGGAGGGTGCTCAAATAGTTGCTGGTTACAGCCAAACAGAGAAGATAGTGAGGACAAATTGGGTCTTTTAGGCCCTTCTTTAAAAACAGTGTGAGGTCGTGTCACTACCCCCTACAGGATTCATTCCAAACCCTAGAATGTAACCTTCCTCCTTTTCCCTGCCCTAGCATGATCCGACCATGCATTTTTCTACTTCATATTTTTAATTACTGCAGTCTCTGTGCCTGGACTGACATTTTTTCCTATCATCCAAACGAACTACTATTGATCCTTTAAAACCCAGAGAAAACATACCTTCTCCACATTTTTCCATAATGCCCAGCAGATGTCGCCATCACAGCTCTTGACATGAAGGGCTATGGGTCTAAACCACTGAAGCTGCTGAGTCTAAACACTCAAGCCTGGTGTTCAACTTCGTGTTCAATTTCCTGCGTGCAGATGCTCCAAGTGCATAGTAAGTGACACTATATTGATGTGAACACAACTGTCAAAATCACCATGGTAGGAAAGTGTTGTTATTATTATCCCCAGTTTGTAGATGAGGAAACAGGTTCAGAGGCTCAAGTCTGCTATCAGCTGAATATTTGTGTTCCACTAAAATCAATACGTTGAAATCTTGAAACTCAATGTGATGGCTTCAAAAGGTAAGGCCACAGAAAGGTGATAAATTCATGAGGGAGAAGCCTTCAGGAATGGGTTGGTATGCAAATAAAAGAGACCTCAAAGAGATCATTAAGCACTTCCAAAAAGTTAGGACACAGCAATAAGACAGTCATTTAAGAAACAGAAAGTGAGCCCTTACCAGACACTGAATCTGCCAGAATCTTGAATTTGGATTTCCCAGTCCCCAGAATTATGAGAAATAAATTATGTTGTTTTTTCAGTCACCAAATCTACAGTACTTTGTTATGGCGGCCCCAAAATACAAAGAGAGAGTAGTATTTCCCCGGCATCAGTGACATGTTAATGATGAAGCTGGAGCCCAAACCCAGGGCTCTAAACAGGACATCAATTGAAATGTCCCATTGGGGTTACAGAGCAATGGTGCTAAAACCATCAGGAAGAGCGATGGATCACCATGATTGAAAGATGACTGAAGCCGGGCTCAGTGGCTCAGCCTGTAATCCCATGCTTTGGGAGGCTGAGGTGAGTGAATTGCCTGAGCCTACGGGTTCGAGACCCATCTGGACAACTTGGCCAGACCTCATCTCTACAATAAATCAAAAAAAATTAGCCAGGCGTGGTAGCATACACCTGTAGTTCCAGCTACTTGGAAGGCTGAGGCGGAAGGATTGCCAGAGCCCAGCAGGTTGAGGCTGAGGTGGCCAGGAACAGCCATTGCACTCCAGTCTGGGTGACAGTGAGACTCCAACCCAAAAAAAGAAAAATGGCTGAGAACAATCTGTAAGTGAAAATACCAGGGTCAGCAGCTGGGGGTGCACATGGGGAAAGGATTCCTGCCACCATACCTGCCCTCTTTGGATGCTGTAGTCCAGAAATGATATCTAAAATTTAACACATTGAATTGGAGGCACAAGTCCATACACAGCTCAAGCCCAAGGGTTGGTCTTGATTCACCCATAACCCTTAATTCCTCCCAAGTCTAACGTAAGTGTCCCCCAAACTCAGTTCTTTAGCACCTCTGACAGCCAAATCCCAAGTGAAACCATGAAAAGAATGCCATGCCATCAGGGCATAATTGGAAGTCTCAGAACAACTTAGGGCATCTGGTCAACCCCATATTTGGGGATGAAAATCAAGAGTGTCCCCAACGGGAGAAATGGTGGCCAAGGCTGGCCCCACCAGTTTCCAAGCACCAGGGGGGATCTTTAAAAATTGTGAGGCAACTATGTTCTGTATTCAATCTGAGTATGGACTACCCCTTCTGGAGTCACCAATCATCTTAGCTGATTGCAGATACTAGAGAACCTCCTTCAAGGAAGACATTCAAGAGTGTGGGTGCCCAGAGGTTCAGAGCCCAGGTAAATGGTCATGTTGCCAACTGTTAACAATATCAACAGCTGACACTATCCAGTACTTATAAGCTGCCAGCCATCGTGCTCTTATTATTTTCATTTTAAAGCTGAGAAGACTGAGTTTCATAGGTTAGATGACTTGTCTTAGGACACAGCACATGAAATTTTGTAACTAGATCCTAGCAACAAGTAAAAAGTTTAATCAACTGAAAAGTCAGCAGTCTTGATCTGTAAGAGATGCAAGGTCACAGTGCAAACTGCTGCTCCCAAAATTAGGGACACCAACAGGCAAATAGAGGGAATCACAACTTACTGGAACAGAAATCCATAGTTAGCAACTTCTAGAGGAAGCAGTGTCAGGGAAGGGAAATGTTAGCTGCAACTGAAGTATTGCTGGAGGCTAAATGTAGATAAGTCTGAGAATTAAAAACTCTAGGCGGTTCCCAATGTTAGGGGTCCCACGCATTTATGGGTTTTATCTCCAGGAATGCTGTCAGATCCTCACAATAAAACTAGGAGAAAAGATCACTCATGCTTCTGTTAGGGGAAGGGGGAAACCCATTTTTTAAATACTCCAGAGCATTCTGTTCTTCCTAACATGGTCTGCCCTTAGGAGAAACAATTTAACCAGAGCCTGTCCTGCTGGGGTTTTACCAGAGCCTAGCTAGAAAAAGGAAATGCCCAACAATCCAGCCATCTAGGGGCAATCCAGGAAACCTGAGCAATACATGCATATAGCACAGGCTCATTTAAAAAGAATGAGATTTAGGCCAGACTCGGTGACTCAGCCTGTAATCCCAGCACTTTGGGAGGCCAAGGCGAGTGGATTGCCTGAGCCTGCAGGTTTAAGACCCGCCCAGGCACTTTGGCGAGACCTCGTCTCTACAGTAAATCAAAAACTAACCAGGTGTTGTAGTGCACACCTGTAGTTCTGGCTGCTTGGAAGACTGAGGCAGAAGGATCGCTGGAGCCCAGCGGGTCGAGGCTGTGGTGGCCAGAAGTGTGCCACTGCACTCCAGTCTGGCCGACAGAGTGAGACTCCAACTCAAAAAAAAAAAAGTAAGATTTAATCATGGGACTATAGAATGATTCCCTTCTCCCCACAACTTACTACTACATAACTAAAGGTTCATGTCAAACTGTTCCTTTTACCCAGTACCTCATGTCTGACTACCAGTAGAAAAAAAATTGCAAGACATGTCAAAAGGCACAAAACACAGTTTGAAAAGAGAGCCAGCATCAAAAACAGACTCAGGCTTTCTACCTGTGGATGCTGCTGAGAAAGCATCGCTAAAGTCTCTCTCCCCACCACTGTCAGGACTAAGTCAGTGTCCCCTAAGGAGTCCGAACAACTGCAAAAGCTCTTCATCAGAGGGCTGAACTTCGAAGATCGATGAGTCTGAGGAGCCATTTTGAGCAATGCAGAAAGCTCACAGACTGTGTGGTAATGAGAGATTCAAACACCAAGTGCTCCAGGGGCTTTGAGTTTGTCACATATGCCACTGTGAAGGAGACATATGCAGCCATGAATGCAAAGCCACACAAGGTGGATGGAAGAGTTGTGGAACCAAAGAGAGCTGTCTCACTAGAGGAATCTCAAAGACCAGGTGCCCACTTAACTGTGAAAAAGACATTTGTTGGTGGCCTTAAAGAAGACACTGAAGAACATCACCTAAGAGATTATTTTGAGCAATATGGGAAAATTGAAATGATTGAAATGATGACTGATCGAGGCAGTGTCAAGAAAAGGGCTTTGCCTTCTTAACCTTTGGCAACCATGACTTCATGGATAAAATTGTCTTTCAGAAATACCGTACTGTGAATGGCCACAACTGTGAAGTAAGAAAAGCCATGTCAAAACAAGAGATGGCTAGTGCTTCATTCAGCCAAAGAGGTCAGAGTGGTTCTGAAAACTTTGGTGGTGGTCCTGGTGGTGGTTTTAGTGGGAATGACAACTTTGGTCACGGAGGAAACTTCAGTGTTCATGGTGGCTTTGGAGACAGCAGGTGGTGGTGGATAGGTGGCAGTGGTGATGGCAATAATGGATTTGGTAATGATGGAAGCAATTTTAGACGTGGTGAAAGCTATAATCATTTGGGCTATTATAACTATCAGTCTTCAAATTTTGGACCCATGAAGGGGGGAGACTTTAGAAGCAGAAGCTCTGGTCTCTATGATAGTGGAGGAGAATACTTTGCCAAAGCACAAAACCAAGGTGGCTGTGGTGATTCCAATGGCAGCAGTAGCTATGCCAGTGGCCGAAGATTTTAATTACTGCCAGGAAACAAGAGCCAGAGAAGTAACAGGAAAGCTACAAGCTACAACAGATTGGTGAACTCAGCCAAGCACAGTGGTGGCAGGGTCTAGCTGCTACAAAGAAGACATGCTTAGACAAAATTCAAGTGTATGGGCAAAACACTGAAGGACTGTGTTTGTACTAATTACATAACAGGTTCCATGGAAAGTGTAAAGCATTCCAACAAAGGGTTTTAATGCAGATATTTTTCGCACCCATGCTGTTGATTGCTAAATGTAATAGTCTGATCGTGATGCTGAATAAATGTGTCATCTTAATGAGTACCCAGATGTGGCAGGAATGTTGAAATAATCAGAGCGGGAATTTAAGGTATCTGTAATCAATACGTCAGGATTTCCAATAGGTAGACATCATGCAGTGTATATGGACAATGTAAGCTAAATAAATTGTTATAATCTGTTCCTAAGCTAGAAACTCATCTTGCAAATGCTGTAAAAATTTACACTGAGGAGGAGTCATCAACATAATGGTGGAGTAAGAAATCCCAGGCTTCCATCCCCCAACAAAAGCAGCAATTTGGGCCCCAACAAAAGCAGCAATTTGGCAGCTACTGTGAATGAAAGTAACTCTGGAAGGGCTCAGGAGTCCACTTAGGAAGCTAAAGCCACACAGTGGAGGGAAAAATAATAATCACATGAAAATTGTAGGAAGATATTTCATTTTGGCTGCACTACCCATCTCCAGACCCACTGGAGTGACCAGCCTCCATTTGCTTGCACCCAGATCGCTGAAGTTGAGACGTCTGAAGAAAGGAGCAAAGAAGAGGGATAGGAGTTATCCCTATCAGTCATGCAGCAGAACCCACTGGACCCCAGTGGCCTGCCCTGCACAGGACTCCGGCAAATTTTTCAAGGAAGGTCCTCACAGTCCTCCAGCTGCTGTGCGCCACCTGCAACTTTTGCCATCGAGGTTTCACAGTGTTCACTATTGCAGACCCCAGTGGCTTATCTGCTGAGGACCCCAGGTAGCTTTTTCTGCCAAGAGCTCACAATTTTTTCACCTTCACAGTCTCCAGGTACCTCATTTAATACCTTTTCCCTCTCTCTTTCTTCTTTTTTGCTTCCTCCTATGAAAAAGTCCAGTTACCAACCTCTTTTCTCTCTTCTTTCTCCTTCCCAGATTTTGTCAAAAATTTTTCATTCCATTTATCACGCAGGTGAAAAAAATTTAAAGGACTCCCATCACACTAGCTTACCCCTTTACACCTCCTCTCTCTCTCTCTCTCTCTCTCTCTCTCTCTCTCTCTCATACCCCACCCTCAACCTCATACCCAAATCAGAAACAAGTCTCCTCCTAGAAATTAATCTCCCTGAACACCAGTGAAAGCTGGGCATGGTGGCTCATACCTGTAATCTCAGGTACTCAGGAGGTTGAGGATGGAGGATTGCTTGAGCCAAGGAGTTCAAGGCTGCAGTGAGCTATGATCATGCCACTGCCCTCCAGCCTGGGCAACAGAGCAAGATTCTGTCCCCCCCAAAAAAAGTGGAAAATTATAAATAATAAGCTATTTTGCGGGCATGACTATCTTTTCCCTTTACAGGTTTTTAGAAATAAAGAGATGATCTATGAGAAGTATTGAATGTAGTATACAGCTCAGTGTATAGTAGATACTCATACAATGGCTATTATTATTATTTTATTCTATTGCAATCCAGCAGCACTGCAGCAACCTAATCATCAGAAATAAAGTTTTTGTTTGCTAATTCAGTTTGAATAATGTATATGCCCGTGTGTGTGTGTGTGTGTGTGTGTGTGTGTGTGTGTGTGTGTGATGATTTTCTCACCCTCACGAAATTATATAAACACAGCCATGAGGCACCAGTGGACACTCCCCACAGCCACAATTTTAAGAAGATTGAAACCACACTGAACCCAACCAAAAACTAAGATCAGACCCCTACTTCACACCATATACAAAAATTTACTCAAAATGGATCAACAGCCTAAATGTAAGAGCAAAAGCTATAAAATTTGTAATAGCATAGGTATTCATGACCCTAGATTAAGCAACAATTTCTTAGACACAACACCAAAAAGCACAAGTGACAGAAGAAAATGATAGATATATTGTTTCAACATTGTCAAAATTTAAAACTATTATGCTGCAAGAGGACACTAAACAGAAAGTGAAAAAGAAAACTCACAAAAATATGAGAAAGAATTGAAAATCACATATCTGAAAAGGGAGTTATAATTAGAAAATACAAAACATTCTTATAACTCCACAACAAAATTTTTAAATGAGTGGAGTATCTCAATTGATATTTCTCCAAGAAGATACAGAGATGGCCAACAAGCACACAGTAGATGCTCAGCATCAAAGCGTATTAAAGAAATGTAAATCAAAACCACAATGAGATACTACTTCACACCTACTAAGATAAAGGTGACCAAAAAGACAGCTAACAAATGATAGTGAGAATGTAGAGAAACTGGAACTCTATGACATTGCTGGTACAAAATGTAAATGGTAAAGATACTTTGGGAAACAGTCTGGCAGTTCCTAAAAAATTAATCATGGAGATACCATTTGACTCAGCACTCTGCTCCTAGGTATATATCCCAAATAAACAAAAACAGATTATTCAACAAAAACATGCTGGTAATTCATAACAATTTTATTCAAAGTAGAAAATATTAGAAGCATTGAAATATCCATCAATGATGAATACATAAATAAGAGGTAGAATATTCATACGTTGGAATGCTATTTGGCAATTTAAAGGAATAAAGTACTGATACATGGTACAACATGAAAGAACCTTGAAAACATTATACTCGGTCAAAGAATCCAGTCGAGATTGCCATAATTCCATTTGTACTCCATGGATATAAAATGTTCAGAAGAAACAAATATATATGGGTAGAAAATAGATCAGTTAATGTCTAGGGCAAGAGGGAAGGATTTGGGAGGAAACTGTGTCTGCAAAGGGTATGAATTTCTTTTCTGGGTGATGAAAATACTCTAACTTTGATTGTGGTGATGGTTGCATAACTCTGAATAGACTAAAATCACTTAAATGTGTAATGGGTAAATTAATGGCATATAAATTATATCTTAATAAAGCTATTATAACTCAGTAAAAAAAACTCAGATAAGGACACAGAGATCATGGGCTAAAGAAGAAAAGGAATTTTAGCATTTAGTGAAAACTTACTCTGTGATGGGTATTGTCATATTCACAGGTTTGTACACCAGTCTTACAAGGTAGCATCTTTAACCCCACTGTACAAACGAGGATATGGGCATCCCCCTACCATATTCTGCCAAAACCTCTGTACTGGCTACTCAGGTGCCTAAGGAATAGAGTTTGCTAAAGAAGGTCTTCTTCCTGGCAACATTCAGCTCCTTGTTCCTGAAGCTAAAGATGATGGGGCTGAGGAAGAGTGTGAGGACAGTGTAGGTGGTGGCCATCAGGGTGTCACTTTCCTGAGAGTGGGGACCCTTGGGCTTCAGGTAGATGACAGAGGCAAAACCATAGTGCATAAAGACCACAATAAGGTGAGATGCACAGGTTGAGTAGGACCTGCGGGCCAACCTTCTGCCAATGGGATCTTCAAGATGGTGGCCACAATGAGTGCATAGGACAGGAGGATGAGGAGGAAGCAGCCCAGCAGGGCCATGATACACACCAAGCCCACGCCCAAGGCCACAGCTGGAACATTACTTCCACAGGCCAACTTTAACAGAGGTGGCACATGACATAAGAAATGCTGGACCTCATAGGGTTCACAGAAGGTGAGTTGGAAAATGGCCGTGTCACCACCAGCCCCACCACTGAGAGCCACCAGTGCAGGACCAGCCCACCAGGCAGGCACAGCCCCAGGGGCTCATGAGCACATTGTAGCGCAGGGGGTGGCAGATGGCCACATAGCAATGAGCAGGAAGGAGTGGGTGAAGTCAAACATGAAGGAGAAGAACATCTGGCTGGCACAGGCCAGGAGGGCGGTGGGGTGCTGGGTAGAGAGCAGTCAGCTATCATGCGTGGGATGATGGTCACGGTGTAGAGGCTCTAGGAAATGGAGAGGGTGCACAGGAAGAGGTACGTGGGTATGTGGAGGCTGCGCTCACTCCGGACAATGGCCAAGATGAGCAGGTTGCCCAACAGCGTGAACAGATACATCAGCAGGAAGAAGGCGGTCAGGAGCTTCGGCAGGAAGGTGGAGAAGCCGATGAGGATGAACCCAGACATGGAGCTGTGGTTTAGCCCCAACGTGGTAACCATGCCTGGGGTGGAAAGGGAAGAAGGCCTGGGGGTTAGGAGCACAGGGTCCCTAGGGAGTCTGAGCTGGGAGAACACATGAGAGGCTCCTTCACCTGTCCAAGCCATGCTTCGTCCATCTGCAAGTAGGTATGAATAATAATGTCTTGAGGCTTAAATGAGATCATGCATCTTAAGTGTTTTGCTCAGGTCCTGGCACACAGTAAGAATTAAATTTTTTTTAATGTTGATAATAATAATTACTATGATGAGCCCCATGTACTACCACCCACATTATGCTTTTCTGCTTTTGCTCATGCTGGTCATTCTATGCTTCTTTCCATCTTTTTTTTTGAGTTGGAGTCTCACTCTGTTGCCCAGACTAGAGTGCAGTGGCACGTTCATGGCCATCGCAGCCTCAAACTGCTGGTCTCCGGCGATCCTTCCACTCAGCCTTCTAAGGAGCTGGAACTACAGGCATGCACTACCATGCCCGGCTATTTTTTTATTTGTTGTAGAGATGAGGTCTTGCCAAGTTGCCCAGGTGGGTCGCGAATTCGCAGGCTCAGGCAATCCACTCGCCTCAGCCTCCCAAAGTGCTGGGATTACAGGCTGAGCCACAGAGCCCAGCCTTTTCTTCCCATCTTTATAGGTCCAAATCCTGCCTGGATGTTAAGGGCAAGCTACTCCCTAGTTGCCACCTTCAGTTGGAAGTCATCCCTTCCCTGTGGTGTAGAAAGGACATAAATTCT